GGAGTGAGTTGAGAGAGTGAGATAACGAGAGTGGGACTATCAGAGACGCTGGGGGAGTGAGGTGCTGTGTACCTGGAAGGTGCCGGCCTTCAGCAGCATGACCTGGTCCTGCTGGCTGAGGCTCTGGAAACCCGGGATGCTCTTGGCAAACTCCACCACCTCCCGCACGGCCGGCGTGAAGCACTGGGAGAACGACTCCCACACCTGCTGGCTGGACAGTCCGGCTGGCGCCACAGGACACGCGTTGAGAGGGCACGCCTGGGGGCGAGAGAGACAGAGCTGCACTTCCACACCGACTTTCTTCGCCTCACCCCAGAATTCCCCATACAGCTCCTGATCCCACTGGGGGAGGAAACTCCACAGAGCTGCAGCCCAGTGTGTGATCTCCTGTCCTGGCTCGAGGAGCAGACAGTGGGCCTCTCCAGTACTGTCTCATGTGCTGTCTTTAAATCTCCAGTAATATGTTTATACTGTAAATGTCTGCAATTGTGTTAATTGTATCTGCTCTGGCAACACTGTAAGTCATTGGTCATGCCAGGAAAAGCCCTTTGACTTTGAATTCGAAGAGATGCAAACAGAGAGCCAGCGTCTTGCACACACACATAAACACAGCATGTCTAGAGCCAACACCTACCAGCACTTTGGCACCACCGCCAATCCTCCAGGGGCACGAACTCTGACCCACAGTCTCAGCCAGTGGGTAGCCGTTGTAGTTAGTAGGGTAGGTGGGAGGGGGCGGGCCCACACCTGATGGGCACTGGCTCTGATTGGAGGAAGTGGAGGGCTGGTAGCCATAGCGACTGTTGTCGACAAATGGGAGAGCAGGGTTGGGGTCACGTGGCGCCATGGGACATCGGTGGGCAGCTGTTTGGAAAGAGGTGGGGTACGAGGGGTACCCTTGGTGGTGGGCGTGGGGGTGGCTTGACTCGGGACGGGGGCTATTTTGGAAGACGGGGGAGTGGTTGTTGTTGTTGCTGCTGCTGCTGCTTTGGGTGGTGCCCCTCCTCCCTAGCCGGTCCTGTCCGCTCACAAAGATGTCCCGGTATGCCCTGGAGATGGCGCCGATGGCCTCCTCTGATTGGCTCTCCCCCGGGCTGGGCGGGGCCTCCGGTGGGGAGCAGTCGATCTCCATCGAAGCCGATTCGTTGAGGCTGTTCATGTAGCTCTGCATTTCGTCCAATAGCCTCTGCTTCTCACGTTTGGGGATCCGCCCAAAACGCACAGCTAAGGGCCAAGGAGAAGGAAAAAACATGAAACATTAGTGAAGAAATCCACAACAGTAATAAGCATTCTGAGAATCACTTTAGAGACTTCACACCCCAAGATCGTATCATCTTAAAATTTCTAGAATAATAAACAGTCTAATATAAATTAAACCACGATTACACCTTTTCATATACAAGGTCCATTAATGTGATCTTTTTTTATACCCCCAGTCTGCTGCAGAGCTTTGGAATGCTTTGTATGAAAGGTGAACCTCGGTTTCAGCGCTTGTTTGAAATGCAGGTAAGAGCTAACAGGGCTTACAGGAATCTCACGGGCACAGCCAGACCTTCTGTAATTTCACACCGTGCCAGGGTGTCAACTGCAGAGCCAGAGAGCTCCCTGCTGCTCCTGCTACAGAGCAGCACAGTGCAGACTAGGGAGAAGAACAAAAGACCCTGCTCCCACCAGCTGCACCCCCCCTCGTCCTTATCGATGTCTCCCCCCCCCTCACACACACACACACACAGCACAGTCCAAGAATAACTGTCAGCTGGCAGGGCTAATAATAGCCTGCTCTCCACCATAACGGTCTCTCGCAAGCGCCCTCTCACTCTCGCTCTC